GTTATGGAATAGATTTGAGGTGAAAATAAGCATAAATGGTAAGAGTAAAAGCTCCTCGGGTCACTGTCAGGGGTTGGGACAGAAGCCTCGAGATGTAGCGCAGCCATTTAGAAACTCTTTTCTTTCTTTAACCTGCCGAGAATATTTTGGCCCCCGGGGATGAGCATAAATATATTGAGGACCCAAAGGTTTCAGACAGGATGGGTCCTGTGTCTTACATGCATTTTAGCAGGAGGTGGGAATGGAAGCAAACCAATATCCAAGCATCTGTTTTCTGTAACAGTGACCAGGATTGTTAGCATTAATAAGCTGGCTGCATGCGGGGTACAGAGAATCGTCTATCAAGTCCTTGTTCTGACTGTTTTTAATGTAATAATTAAAAAAAAAAAAAAAAGAACTTACAGTATCCAGCTTCTTCTCCCCCTCCCTTCGAATGAGTCCTCTTGCCATATTCCTGTGCTGTCATCTTTGGCCACCTGCCTTTGTCATAGGTGGAAATGTACTTGATCTAGCTCAATTGTACTTACTTTTTACTTCTGGGAACTTAACATGGGGTACTCGTGTACCTGAAACTCTGTTTCCTCCAGAATGGTTTTGTGTAGCTCCAACTATTACAACTACTGTTACTATTACTACTTCTGTTTGAGGGCTATGTACTTGAGCATTTACTCTCCTGTCGAGGCGGGCCCTCGCCACTTTGTATTTCTTTAGAAAATCCTGGGCCCTGCTTGTTGGTTTTAAGATACTTTGTTTTAGCTTATAATTTTTGGAGGCTAAGACTGTTTTGGGGCAACTCAGCTATAATGAAAACATTTTTTGTTTTGACCCTAGGTTCTCAGTGTGACATGTTTTGACCCTATCATTCTAACCATGATTTAAATTCTGAATTTCCAGAAGCCTTATTAAATATGTCAATTTGTGCACCAGAATGGTAAATGTTCCTGTGAACTTTGACTCCTAAAGGAAACTCTATTTCCAAGGAATAAAAGATTTTCCTGATAAATATGTTCCTCATTTTGGACTAATACTTTCAGTCTGAGTGCTGGAATGGGGAAGGGCCAACCCATTGCCTGGCCCCACTTGCTACCTCATTCGGGGATGCGATTTTACAACCCCCGGCATTAGATTTTTATTTTGCCAAGATCACTTTCGCAATGGGATATAAATCTCCTGAGTGCACGCCTGATTACGTAGGCCTGCACGTGAATAAGAAAGAGAGTGAACCACCTGCCATCACGGGAGTGCCCATAACCATGCCAGATGGCTGGCACTCAGTAGGCTGACAGGAGCTCTGTGGCTGTTTTTCTTAACTTGGGAGCTAAGGTCACCCTCCCTCCCAGGGCCTTTGCGACGAAATGCAAGCCAGGGGTCTTGCCCCAGCAACGTATCTCCTCACTCTGATTTGCGCAGACACTCTTAGAAGTTGTCTGCCTCCCGCCCACCTGTCTCACCGGATGGCCATGGCAGGGGGCACCCCAGCCAGCGAGAGCTGGGTGCTAACACTTGTCACAGTTACTCTTTCTGTTGTCCTTTGCTGCTGCTCAGTGTGTGTGCCAACTCTGGTCAGGGCCCTGGGTACTAGCATTTGTCAATACAAAAGTGTCCCGTGATGCTAATACCCTCCCTCAGTTTTAGCTCCAAACCCACCGTCTCCAGGAGAGCACTTTGGGAGAGAAATTTCTCCCGTAGGGTTTAACTTATCTGGTTATTGGCTCTCCCTTTGTTCCCCAGGTCGAACTCTTCAGAGAAAACTGAGCAACCTTTCATACTTTCCCAGGAATGGAAAAATTGTTTTGGTAATAAGATACAATTTTAAAAGATGGATATGCCCAGCCCATTTCGCATCGGGCCCATCACCATGTGGTATTACCTCCGCCTCCTCGAAGTCCTCCCCACCGTCCACCCCTGGTCTGAGCGGTCATGAGGACCTTTGGTGTGTTTGGGGCCCGTGGGCCAGCAGCAAGCACCTTTAGAAATGATCAGGAGGAGACCTGGCTCAAAGAACTTACCCAGCCGTGCTCTTTAGAGCTGACTAACCACTTTTGCACACGTTCTTTCTCTTGAACATAGCAGTGGTATGGTTTTACCATGGGGCACCTCGGAGGTGGAGAGACCCCACTGCCAAGTGGCTGGGCTGCCACTCACCATAGCACTTTTGCGGTCCTGGGAGACACTGGGCATTGTTTCCCTGAGTCCTTACAGCAGTCCGTGTGCACTAACGAGGTGGGACAGGTGATGATGTCCCACTTTGTAAGTGGGGAGGCTGACGCTTAGTGAGGCTGACTGGCCCTCTTGGGGACACAGCAGGTAAGGAGTGACACAGTTGGGAAACGTACCCCAGACCTTCCTCCTCTTAGACCCACACCCCTTCCATTACACCAGGACTAACTCCACAGTCCAGAATAATCTCAAGAACAAAGCTACTCTGAAGGCGCCGTAGAGCCTCACCCTTCATAGGATTCCAAATTCCTTTGACAGCCAAGCTGTAGTGCCCTGGGGGAAAACTCCGGAAGGGAAGGTCTCCCTTGGCCGGCTCTTCAGGACCAGGCAAGGGAGGGCGTAGCAGAGGGCCCCACCCCTAGGGCATGCTCACCCACCCAGTTGGCAACACGGAGATGCTGCTGGTCTAGACCCACATCCGGGCACTGCTCACCTTTCGCTGACTCATGCCCGGAGTGTTTGCAAAGTGCACAGGCTGTAACCCAGAGATGGAGCAGATGTACGGAAGAAGAGTGTCAGGCGTTGCTAGGGACCAACAGGCAAGGTGTCCCTGTCAGTGGGGACAGAGAGCAGACGCTGAAGGCAGGAGCCTGCGCCGTGGAAACCTCCCATCCCCGAAGCGTGTGCTTGGCTGGCAGGGGAAGCTGCCACCCATCAGACTGGGCTGCATTTGCAAAGGTCAGGCTTTAATTACATGCACAGTTAAATGGAGATACTGTAGAGAGGTCACACTCATATTTCTTTGGCCTTCATTAATGTTATTGCTCTGTCACTTTCTCTCTCCTCGGGTTTGTAAATGAAAGTTCCTTTAATACATTTAAAAGGATTATTTATTTTTAATTGTTTTACCTCTGGAGGGAGAGGTTACTTTTTTTTTTTTTTTTGAGTAGTTAAAAAAAAAAAGAAACAACTTTGCCTATGCATTTCTTGCTAATTTATTTCAAACCCTGTCCTTTTTATAGTCTTATCTACTAATGGTTTTGATTAAAACACAAGCAAAAACCAGCCAACATGAACAGGTTGAATGCCACATCTGTGCAGAAGATAGCAGCTCTCTTATTTATGGCTCCAAGAAATGGAGCCTAAATTAAGCTAGCTATTGCTGGAGAGTGGATAAACGGCCATTATGAATTATCCTTAATTATAGCGATTTCCTAAACTAATAAACCTGCTAAATCTTTATTGCAAAGGTTAGTTTACGCAGTGCATATAAAATCCGCATGTGCTCCGCATCAGCCACCAGCTGTCTGACAGTGGGTTGCGATTTTAGTGAGTGTTCACATAAATTTTATGTTGGTTATATTAACAGTCAGTCCATATCACTACCCACAGATGCCAGTAGACATAAAAATTGCTCTCTAGTGAGCCTAAATATCCCTAGAAGCTAGTTGTGTCTAATGTTCCATGTAGTATTTGTACGTGAAAGCACCAGATTGGAGAGTTATTTACAGATGAATATTTCAATCCAGTTAGTTCATATAGGCCTACTTAGCCTTCTTTGCTGGTTTATTTGTATGCTAAATAATTCACCAAAGGTTCTTGTTTACTTTCTATAGTAGTTTCTATGAAATGCAAACAAGGGAGCCAACTTTAGGTGTTCAAAAGGCTAAGCAGCTCTGTGTTTAGATGCAGGTCAGAGCAGCAAAGGGGGCCTTGCCCATGGGCTGTCACTCGCCTTTACACATCCTTCTTTCTTCCTTTCTTCCCCCACTCTTCCTGCTCCAGATATAACTGGAGCTTGCTGCTTTCATAGGAATTTTTGGCTGGGCTATCTTTAGTCTAAATTTATCTTTTTTAATACCTGCTATATGCTACCTTCGGCTTGCACAATTAACCACCCAACGCCAGCAGCAAAGAACACATTCTTGGCTTGGAGAAGCTTCCCCACAGTCCTCCGGGCTGACAAGAATAGGTCAGTTCTCTTCTATTGAAATGCCCTTGTTTTCTTCCCTTTTTTTTTTTTTTTTTGCCTTTTCCTTTTCTTTTTCTTTCTTTTCTCTCCCATGATTTTTTTTTTTTTTTCCTGGTGCATTTCCAAATCTTAAGATTTGAAAGGACAGCAAATAGGACCTTTCTCTTTTCCTGGAAAGCCCCGAGCCAGCCTGACCCCTGTCACCCTGAAGGACAGAAGAGCCAAGTCCAGCTCTAAATGATGTAGCCTCTAGCAGCCCTCAGAATATCTGTTCACCTGGGTGGGAAGGATCATTGTTTTCTGGTGAGGTGACAGTTACCTGACCCTATTGTTCACATGTCCCCATGGCTCCGTTTATATGTGAGAAATATCTGTCTGCCCCTACATTTTGCAAATGTTTATGATCCTAAACATTTGCCCCTAAAGAGATTGGAAAATAGCCTCCTTCATTTTCAGCCTGGCGCTGCCAAGATCATGAGAGAGTTCAATAGCAGTGCTAACTTTTTATTTAATAATATTGATTTTATCATTTTTACTACTTACAGTGGGGATTGGTCGGCTGATAGTTATTTGACCTCCCTTTGTGCATGGCTGTGGAGTGCTTCGTGAAAGCTATTGACATATATCTCTCTTCCCCCACTCTTCCAGTGGCCCATCTCGGCAAATAACATTGAGATGCAGTAACTGTTCCCTGATATTGATTTCAGATTGTGTTCATCACACCCTTCCCGGGGCCAGGCCAAGAGCAGCAGTCCTGGTTCTGTAAACCCTTGACTACTTCAGGCTGAAGTATCATTTCCACCTTCCAAGCAAGAATATCAACCATATATGTTTCAAAAAAAAAAAAAATTACCCAGGAAAATGAAAGTGTGTTTTGATCTTGATTATTTTTTACGCATATATCATTAAACTGATCTCTTCTAGTTTTATGTTGGGCTTTTTCTGTAATTTTTTTTTTTTTTTTCCCTGAAGGAATACTAGGAGATCCGTGGTTCCCTGAGCTGGTAGGAGGAACTCTGATTATATTTTAAGCTTCTGGGATTCAGAGTTTGGCACACTCAGCCAGACCCAGGGCCTCTTTGACCTTCGGTTCTCAGCCAGCTGGGGTCGTTCTCACCACCTGGGCCTAAAAAAAAAAAGTTCCATGTTTTGCCTCCATGGAGTCAGTTGAGATGGCAGCACATTTAAAAGAACCCGAGGTTTAACGTTCAGGGGGCAGCCAGCCTAATCCAGTGATTATAATCACTTTTATCCATAGGAAGGACATGACACGTAGTCTGGGTGGATTTGCATACTCATTGAGAAAAACACGAAGCACAGAGCAAATAATACTGGAATCCTAAGTTTTATAGGCGGAAAAAAAAAAAAAAAGGCAATAGAGAATCTGCACCAAGAGTGATTATATCTGGGTGATGGGACTGCGGGTTATTTATTTTGTCTTTGGGCATTTCTACATTTTCTAAATTTTCTTTTGTAGTTAGAAAAAAAAAAAATCCCACTCAGAAGTGTTATTTTTGAAAATGGAGAGGCTACTAGAAGGATTGGAACTCTCCAGAAGATCCCCGACCGCCAGAGTGAATGCATTAGCCGAGGTGGAGATTAACTGACTCAGTGCCGTGCTAATCATGACTCCGAGAGAAGCAGGACAGACATCGCTCCCATCCCAATGCACCTGCTAGTTCTTATTTGGTGAAGCCACTGGGGATTGTGCTAGGCTTTGCCACTGAAGTGTAAGCGCAAACCAGTTAGGAAGGAGGGCTTTGGAGTCAGACAGACCTGGGTTTGATTCTTGGTCCTTTCTTTGACCAGCCATGACTTCGAGCGAGAGACTTAACATTCTCTGTACCTCAGTCTGCTCATCTGGAAAATGGGTTACTTGAGAGACTTAACTGCCACAGTATATGTAAGCTTATAACATACCGCCTGGCGTCTAGTAAGCAGTCAGTAAATGGTAATTTGCATTGCTGGCATCTGTATAGCAATTTCCTCATCAAACCAGAGCCATAATGGGAATTAGCATAGTCGCAGTCCGCGATTTTTTTTTTTTTTTCCTCCATAAGCCCAACTGGGACTCAATTAAGATCTATCCAGTGTCTAATACATGTCAGATTTCCAGGACAAACCTGATTGCATATAGCACTCTTTGATTAGAGGCAATTCGTTTTTAAGTGCATATCTAAACAAAATTTTGGCTGAATGTTTTTGGGAGGATTTTTAGAGAAATAAATGTTTCTATCAGGAAAAGAAGTTACAGGTCTTTAATTAGGGTTCTGAAACCCCCGAACACAGGCACACGCACAGATGCACACGCGCGCGCACACACACACACACACATACACACACACCCGCCTTTCTCCAGCAAGAATTCTTCCAGAGCAACGCTAGAAAACGTAACAGGAGCCTTTAGAATATTACCTTAGTTTTGTTTCAGGGCCAGTTGTGCTCTTCTCGAGCATTTTCCATTTGTGTGGTCGGAAACACTTCCTGAGACCTCGGGTGGCGTCGGATCCTTCCCTGCAGGCAGCCATCTTCAGGGCTGAAAGCAGAGCATAAAAAGCAGCTAAATTAGAGCCTTTACACAGTTGCTGGAACTGGCTTAATGAGAGACAGCGAACATTTTGCAGGCTACTGAACTTCTGAAATGTGACAATCCAAGCAAATGAAATCATGGTACCTTTCATTGTAGTTTAATTGGACTCAAACTTGGCACGAGGGGCTGCTGAAAGCTGTATTCAATGAGATAGACAGGAATTGTACAACAACTAATTCAGCCCACACAACACATCTTACAACTGTCCAAGCTCCACACTGTGCTCAGGACTGACTCTCGTGGTCAAGAGAGGGAGAACGGCCGTGCATAAAAGCCGAGATCAGAAGGCAGACCCAGTCCTGGCATGGTGAATGGCATACCTGTCACCGTGAGTTATGCACTTGAAATAACTCAGCCTCGTGGCAGCCAGTCCAGGCCAATTTATTTTAAAGAGGCAAAAAGGAGTGAAACAAACTTGGGCCCTCTCTTCTGCCTGTTAGGGTGTCAAGATATCAGTGTCAAGGAGTCCTCTTACCAGAAGGGTGAGGGTGAGTTGAGCATAAACACGAACAAGGAGGGAAGTAGGCATGGGCCTCCCATTGAGTGGAGCGAAATGGGAATCCCGGTCGAGTAACCCAAAAAGCAGGAAATTACCCGAGCTGTCAGGAAGGGGACCAAAATCCTGTCAAGCAACAGTAAAGGGAATGGGAACCACGGGAGGGAAGGGTACATTGGGAGGGGGGATGATGGGAAGACGCAGATCGTTTTAGGATGGGCATGTCCCGAGCCTGGAGGCCCTGGAAAGTTCAGAAGGGGATCTTGGCTTCCTTGTTCTGTTCCCGCATTGCATGAGTTCCCCGCCCCGCCCCTCTGGGGTGGAACGGACTCTGTAATTCCAGCTTCTTCTGGTCTGACCGTCCCACCTACCACTCGAGTCCACATCCGCTGTGGTTATGGTTCTGGGTTTAGCCAGTAAGGCTGGGAGAGTGGACAAATTGGGTGCCTGCATGTAACGGGCCATCCTGGACATTGATTTTTGAAGGTTCATTAGATAAATGCTGACATCACAGATTGATGTCTCTTTAAACCAGTACCTAGCGCAGGACCATCGAGGGAATCAAAAATATTGATGTAACATGTTTGAGTTGAAGGCTCACTGGAGAATTCCCGTGCCTAAATGGGATCCATCAATTTAGGCTTTCTTTAATTATTCTAATTTCTGTGCGCTGCATCAGGCGGGGAGTTTGTCTGCAGGAACTGGTTTTTATGGGGAACGCTGCTCCCACTTTAGGGGCCAAGGAAAGCCAGACAGGGGGCGCGCGTCTATTTTTCATTGTTGTTCGAGCTGCTGTTTAGTAATTAAAATTTTTGATCATAGCCTAATTTTCCCATACAGTGTGGCCATGGAATTGACAAGGGACTGATTAATGGGCCGACCCTGGGGCCAGGAGGCTGCTAGGTTGTTCTCTTGTGGAAGGCATGCTGGCAAAATAAAGTTGATGGTTTTGTTTGTGTTTAACCCTTCACCTTGGCACTATCAATACATTGAAGACATCATTTGTATCTGCAAGTGTTTCTTTAATTAAGACCTTCTAAAAATCTTTCCTATTGATTCATTCCATTATCCTATTGATTAACTGCAGTGGATCATGTACTTGGTCTTCAGCGGAAGGTAACAGTCTCGGCCGTCTGTCATGACTATGGATGCAGACCACAGGCAGCTAGCATCCAGCACCCAGGGCTGGCAGGAGTGCCTGACGTTCTAATGAGGCATCGGCGGTGGCTCGGTGGGGCTCGCTGAACACCACCGAGAAAGCCAGTTGTCTCCTGCTGGAGGGATGGCCAAGCATAAAGCGTTCCTTCCAGTTATTTATACTGCAGCCGCTTAGCGAGCAGTGTGTGGAGATGGAGTGGGGGGTCCTGGCAGGCTTGCATGGGGGATGGGGACAGAGGATTCTGCTCTGCATCTGAATTGGGAAATCTGGAGCTTTGAAACAAAAAGCAAACTCAGAAATCAAGATGCCAGGCTTGCTTCCGAGACAGGCTGTCCATCTTCCTTTGCCCCCACCCTAGCTTTGCCCCGGCTCTAGCTTTGCCCCCACCCTTATGTTAATCAGCCGGCTCCCAGACTGGCTGCAGGTGCCACAATGGGCTTCCTGTTTGAGAGGAGCTCCCCTCTGCCTGGCTCAGAAGAAAGAGCGGGCCGCTGTTGTACCTCCTGCCGTTGGCCTCGGATCTAAATCATCCCCCGGTTTTAAAAATTAAGAAACCTGTGTGTGGCTGAATTAGCTCTTTAAACTTGGTGTTTTGAAATATTCCTGAATGTTGACAGTCACAAAGAATGCTCCTGGCTGGAGTTTGAGGACAGAAGGACTTTGGTATTGTGGGATATGCAAAATCACATGAGATCGTGCACTCAAAAAAGAACGGAAAGCACCCAGCACATAGTAGGTGCTTTCTCAATACATCAATAATTGTTGACCTGCCAACGGTTCCTTTTTCTCCTCCCATACACGTCCTGTTGCATCCCCCATGCCTTCATCCTGCAAATAGACCAGAGCAGATGGTTTTCTCAAGAGTCAGGATGCCTCTTTACCCAAATGGAATCCAGTAGAAAAGAAACAGTGTAGAAGCAGGGCTGATGGACAGGAGATAGATTAAGTTAGAGAGTAAGATGGCTCTCTGCTCTCTTTAGTAAGTGGATGAATTAATTTTTACTCTCAGAGTGAGAGGTCCTAAGACTTTGAAGCATCTCACCTCAGCAAGGTCATAATGGTCTTCATGGTCAAGCTCGGCCTGGGTTTTCAGTAATGCGTGTGGTCCCCGAGTTCAAGCCAGTGGCTTCTTTGTCCCTGAGAAAGGAAGCAGAAAGCGCCCCCGGGTGTGGTTGGGGGTTGAGAAGGTGGGAATGGGAAAGCTGGTGGTTGCCAGAACTCTTTTTTTTTTTTTTAATATGAGTATTTAAAATAAGAATTTCCACCCTTACAGAACTTTAAAATCAAAATCGAGTGCAAATTCATGGCCGATTTGTGTTTCTCCTATCGGCTGTTATTAATTGCCAGTTGTTTGTGCCAAACCAAATGCTCAGTTTCCCTTGGCACCAAATTTCATGTTTTGGGTGTCCTACATTCTGTCCAGTGGGTTAACATTGTATAGTGGACGAACTGTTTTCTCAGGCCAGGGACCTGACCATCCCAACTGCCAGTTCTACCCTTGTAAACTTTTGCAAATGCCTCATTTCCACATTTCTGTAAAATATGTCGTTGTGTAGATACTCCAGACTCTTCTCCAAAAAAGGAAAGAAACTTATTTAGATTTACATGGACTTTTCATAAGGTAAATTATTTAGAAAATCATAATAACATTTTTAAGGCTCAGTACTTCTGAGTTTGCTTTTTCAGTGAGCATGTTTTAAGTTAAGATATTTTATCTGTGCTAATTAAAATTATTTTTTGAAAATCCAGAGAAGTATAAGACAGAAAAGAAAAACCTCCTGTAGTCCCCACCGCCTTACGATAACCACCAAGAATGTTTTAGTGTACTGTCTTCCAATCTTTTTTCAGTGCATTTATATGTACATATATATATTTATATATATTTTTAAAGCAAAATTTGGGCCATAGTATTTTATAACCTGCCTGTTTTCACTTCCTGTATCACAGGCGGTTTCTCATTTCTTTAAACATTCCCTGGGAACATGATTGTTAATAGAAACTTGTATAAATATGCCGTCTTTATTTAATTTTCCTCCTACTGTTGGACATTGAGGTTGTTTTCCTCTTTTTCCCTTATCATATGAAATGCTGGGATGAATATCCTTGTCTGAGCATTTTATGTGAATATTTATCACCTTCGGATAAATTCCTAGAAATTGAATTGCTGGGTCAAAGGATGCACACATTTTTAAGGCTTCTGACACATATTACCAGAATGTTCTTCCAAAAGGTTGAACCAATTATATAGTCTCCCGCAGCAGTCTGTGAGCATGCCTGTTTTCCTGCACCTTCCCCGGCACTGGAAAGTGTGTGTGTGTGTGTGTGTGTGTGTGTGTGTGCGCGTGCGTGCGCGCACGCGCGCTTGCGAACTGTTTCAGTTTCATAGATTAGGAACAGTGTCTCCTTGGCTGCATTTACATCATTTTGATTACTAATGAGGTAGAGGCTTTTTCTCATATTTAAGTAGCTATTTCTGTTTCTTCTCTTGTGAAATAATTTATCCGTGGCTTTGCCCATTTTTATTGGAATGTTTGGCTTTTTCTAATTGATTTGAAGAATATTTTTCTTTTTTTTTAATTATTATGCTATGTTAATCACCATACATTACATCATTAATTTTTTATGTAGTGTTCCATGATTCATTGTTTGCATATAACACCCAGTGCTCCATGCAGAACGTGCCCTCTTTAATTATAGGCCCATTTCATAGATAATCAGATTAGGTTGTTATAATCAGGTTGGATTTTTCAGGTAGATGTTAAGCAATATTTGGAATATCTGTTGATAATGGCAATGTCATGAATGTACTTTTCACTTTTTAAGAAATAGTGAGTTTTGGTCTGATAAAAAAGATATATGAAAAAGAATCTGACAGTGTCAATCCAGCTTGAGTTAACTATCCCAGGATACTACCAGCATTTTATTACAGTTGTCAAAAAAAAAAAAAAAAAGAAAGAAAGAAACCAACAATTTTATTGTTTTGATTATTGAGATCCAGCCACAGATCAACTGAGCAATTAAAATCTCTAAATAACATTCTCTGAATTGTCAAACAAAGGATTAGTTCCCAGTGGAAAGGACTTTTTTAAAGAAGATAGTTTTCTCTGTAATGTCTGTGTCAGTAGATGGTTGCACTAATTGGAATATACAGAAATATTTTACCAGTTTAACAATGCACGACATCCTAATAAGATTGTGATGACAAGCTTTTCTTTTTATGAAAGGTGATGTTACTGCATGCTTCTAATACACATGGGCTCATGTGTCTTCTTATGACATGTTATAAATGAAATTTTTAGGAGAAATTAATCTGTTTTAGTAAATCTTTCCTGGATGTGAAATGATTTTTTAAAAGCAGGACAACAGATCTTCAATTTCTGTTGTTTTTCTTTAAGTACTTGGAATAATATATTTTAAGGAATCTTGGGGTTGAATAGAAAGGGATCACAATTAAATGCATATTAAACTGCTCATTCCAAATCCCACTAATCTACCATGAGAATGTGTGAAGCCAGGTTCTCCTGTCTTCCCTAGCTCAGGTGGCTGGCTGAGTGCAGGCTTGGGAC